CATTAAAATCAAATGTTAACGACGATTTAATATTTGCAACAATTGATTAGAAATAAATAAAAAATATATATAACTCACCTCACAAGTAGCAGCAGTCCATACACAAAATTAAAAAACGGATTCTATATAGAAAGTCAGAATAAAATTAGATATATAAAAATGTGGAAATATATGAAAACGAGATTATAAAATTGTACATTACAAAAGATAGGTTCTTCCTACTCGAGTTCGAATAGAATAATGCGTTGAGACAATAAAATGTACTAACAAATGGCGGAATTAACAAGATGTTGTTTTGCAGTATAATAAACCAAAAATCACTCTTAAATTCCAGCGTAACGTTTATTTTTAAACCTAAAAAAAAGGTTTGTTCGCGTTGCTTGAAATTCTCACAAATTTTTGCATTTAAAATGAGTTTATTTAAATATTCGGGCGTTGAGAACACAGAAAACAAAGAAATGCTGAGCGCAAAGAATACAAGTAACACGAACGCACCTAAGATTTTTCTATTTATGTCAGTAGCAAAATTTGAAGGCAAAATGCACGGATGCTATTATTTTGCTACTGTATATCTTCAGGAATATAACACTTTATCTAATTCCGCCTTGCTAACAAATAATAGATCATTTATATTAGCCGTCTATAATACATGTTACAGCATAAATATTAATTTATAGAGAAACATTTCAGAAACATTTCTACTAATTCGGTTATTACTGAGCATGAGATGAATTATCAATGTTGTTAGAAGGTAGAAATTTTGGATAGTGAAAGATATATTAGCAAAAGTTATCGGAAATGATACGTATAAGAAAACAATACAATTTCAATTAAAAATTTTTTTCATGCATGAGCATATAAATATATATAAACTTTAAATATATTTATATTTAAGCGTAAAAAATATTTTATCGAGTTAGGGCAAATTAGTAAATAGTTAAAAAAATAAGAATCTCATAATATCAGAGCCACATCAGCAGAAACATTTCTACTAATTTGATCATCAATCACAACTCAATTTTATTGAGGCAAGGTAGAACTTTTGGATAGTTAAAAATATATAAATATAATGAATAATTTATTAGGACCGTATAATATGAATACATAATAATTAAGAAATAATCCCTACATCAGTCAAAATTGAATCTTTAGTATTTTAAATAATTTCATGTGAATTTATATATCATTTATAATCTCTTAAATTGCGTGCCAAATTGATTTTTCGAACTTGAGATGCTGAACTATTATAGTAAAATTATTATAATAATATAAAAGAATTACTATAACAATGTATAAACAAATTAAATAGACAAGCAATTTAATATTGTAATTTAATAATTTAATGTTTAATTAGCATTATTTTAATAAGATCTTAATACTGAAAAACTAAATGAATATTTTTTACAGTTTTTCAGTACATTAAGATTTTTAAATGATGCTAATAAATCATCTAAATAATATGTACTCATCGGTTATCAATAACATCTAAGTGCCTTTTCAATAACAACGTTTCCTATGATTGTGATTTATTGTTACTATATTTTGTAAACATTATTCTATTCAAATTCGAGTAGAAAGGACCTATTTTTGTAACGTACAATTTTATAATTTTGACTCGGTTTCATTTATGTATTTCTACATTTTTATATACATATAATTTTATTCTGACTTCATGTGCCAAATCCATTTTTTAAATTTTGTTGTGTGAACTACTACTTGAGATGAATCTTACATATATTTTTTTACTTCTGATCAAACTGTTACAAACATTATCTTTATTAACATCTGATTTTAATACAGGTTGGACGTGATTTCATCTAGTCTCCAACTAGGGCTGCATTCGGAAATATCACCTGAGTGTTTATCTTATCCTTGTTTAATAGTGAGTGAACAACAATGATAAAATAATATATATGTTTCTGAACTAGAGCTTCAAGAATGATTCCAAGATTGGATTTACAGCTACCCGTTTATCCAAATTACGAATAAATGTGATGCTTCAAATTCGGATTATCCGGAGATTTGAATTTTCTAAGATATCCGAATAGTAAAAGTCGATCCAAATTCAGTTCTCAGATTCTATTTCGGACTCGTAGCAAACTTATAGCGAATTCGATTGGATGCATTAGTGCGGATTGAGTATATATTATACACTTATTTAATCTGAAAAAATACTGAGTGTAAAATAAATAGTAAAATACAAATATTTCTCTTATTAGTTTTGTACATCTTTGTTATTATTATTTTAAGATTGAGAGTTTGTTCTAAATATTTATATTTATAAACAACATATTAAATTTTATAGAATGTATATGTAAGAAACACAAACTATAAAAACAAATGCCTTAAAAGTCTAGTTAGATTTTAAGTGCTTGTATAATTCTGTGTGAATCTTTATTTATATTTTTTAATTTTACTTTTCTTCAATTATATATGTAAATCAAAATTCAATTTTTATTTAAAAAGTAATTTATGTTAAAATTTATTAAATACATCAATGTTTTCTTTTTTTCTGGATTTAAATCTGGAGCCAAATCCGAATTTGAATTTAGATCCGAATCCAAATTCAGATCCGTGGATCCGAATAATTCGGATATCCGGATTATCTGAATAATACGGTTTTGAGTTCTCGGATCGGAATCGATTTCGAATATCCGAATATCTAGATATACAAATATTTAGAAGTCCTATTCCGAACACAGCTTAGTTGAACAACATAATTTTATTTCTAGCGACTGACTTCTCGCCTTGTCTGTCAATATCTGACACGACATATTTTCAATGTCTTAATTTTTGAATTTTTTATCGCTAAAAAGGACTCAAGAGCCGAAATATATTTCGATAAAATTTGTAAGATTCTTAGTAATTGACTTAGTAATTAATTATATTTTATTTCAAATAATTGCATATTTAATATATAAATTCACATAGAAATTATTTAAAAAAGAAAAGCATTTAAATTCAGCTTCGACCGTAATAGACATTAAACTTTTGTTTGTTGTATATTCACACGTATAGTTTTAGTAAATTGTTCATTAAAATACAAGAAATGTATTAAATATTTTTAAAGTGGTCACTTTAAACTTCATTTTGCATTTTTAAACATATTTTTATTTTCATTATATACCAAGTTATGATCATTTGAAATTTGATAAATTTTTTCTAAATTTTCAGTCTACCGCTTTTTTTTGAGTGAGTGTACATATAATCGTTTATTCAATTTTATTTGTTGGAATCTGTGTTCTAATTATCGCGTCGTTCTTATAGCGCCGTTTCTTTATATTCTTGTTGAACTCTGAGAGTTCTTTTATATAGTTTATATTAATAAATTTAACCTTCAATTGTTCGTTTGAAGAACGAAAATGGCAGAGTCCATTATTTTTGTATAATGTGAAATATATTTTTGGATTTTCAGTCGAGTCATCGACATCAAAGATGACGCCAAATATTTTAAGTACAGATTCAGAAATACTTACGGAGAAAGATTTACAAAATGCGGAATCTTCAATTACAAAGATGATAGATACTGAAAATTACACACAAAATAGAAGCAAAGACTATGCAAAAACTGAAGGCTGGTTCAAAACGGAGCCGAAGTGGTTTAACATTTTATATCTTGGTTTTCTTCATTTATACTTCGTATATGCCTGTTTTACTTTTGATTTTTTTGAAAATCTGATGACGACTGCTTGGTGTAAGTATTTTTTGAAAAATTCTTTCGTTAATTTTTTTCTTGATTCTTTGATATCCTAAAAAAATTACATAACAAAATAATAAAATTTAGACCATCAACGAATTAAGCATTAAAATGGTAATGCATATTTATAAAAAATATTACAGTCATTTTTCGACTTCTGACTCGAATAAGCTAATTGAAAACAATTACGCGACTAAAGAGAACACAATAGAACCTTAACAGTAGATAAAAAGTTGTTGTTTAACACTCTTTATTTTCTTGTATTACATTGTATTACATCTTGTATTTAATTGTATAACATAAAAAGGAGCATAAAGGCCAATACTAGTTCTTGTCGTGAATTTAAACATTCATTTACTATTAATTCAACATAACATAAAACATTTTGACCCTTGTTAGGTCGATATTCGAAAAATTAACGCATTAACTTAGTTTTAAATGTAATGAGGATGACCTAATAAAAGTCGAATCGTTTATACTTTACATTGTTGAGTAATAAATGAATGTTATAACGTTTAGATTTGTGTGTGCAACCAGAATTAGCATTGACTCTTATGCTCCTTTATATATTTTGCCTTAGTTTTAAAGCTAGTTATTTAAAGCTCTTTAAGTATCTATTGTATTATAAATTATCATAAATTGTCAAATGTCGCAATAAAATCAGTGCTACTTACATGATTCTCCCATAAGAAATGCGGATAAAATTGTTACGCATAATATTAAAATATTTTTAATGTTAATTATGCTTATGCCCTTTTTGTTTCAGTATTTATCGTGTATGGATTAGGAGGAATAGGTACTACTGCCGGTCCTCATCGTTTGTGGACTCATCAAGCTTATAAAGCAAAATGGCAGCTTAGAGTTATACTTGGTATTCTCTATGCTTCGGCTGGCATGGTAGATTATATTATTAGCGTTTTATTTGTTTTGTACAAAATAGAAAAAATTTTTTTATTACAATTAAATCCTTTCAGAACAACATTTACGAATGGGTACGAGATCATAGAATACATCACAAATATACAGATACGGATGCAGATCCGCATAACAGTAATCGAGGGTTCTTTTTTTCTCACGTCGGTTGGTTGATGGTAAAAAAAAATCCAGATGTGATTCGAAGAGGTCATCAGGTGGATATGAGCGATGTATTAGCTGATCCTGTTGCTGCATTCAATATCAAGTAAATTTTTGCAAAGAGTTAATTATGCGAAATAGTTTCATGTTGGGAAAGACAAAAGAAAATTAGAGGAAAAAAGAATATTATGAAAAGGTCCATTTTTGCTGTGTCCGTGAAAAGTAAAATCAACACCATTTTTTATAATTGTTAAAGCAAGGAATCTGATGATGCTAATTAAAATTACGTTAGATTGTAAATTATTTGATGGAAATTAAGCGTATAAGAAATTAAGTTCAAGATTAGAAACATGACAGATAACATTGTGTTATTCGTGAAATATAGATTGCTAACACTATATGTATTGATGCAACAATATGATATATTATATATGTTTCCACATGAAACAAATCTTCGATTAAAAAACAGGTGTTATCTGATTATTTTCAATGCTCAACGAACATTTCGGTTCATATCAGAAATTGTGTAACTTCAAAATTTTTAAGCTGTATTAAATATATGTACTAAAAGAAAAGACTGCTGCAGCAAATTATATGTTAATATGACATAGCATTTTAATTTGTAGCATCCAATTTTTTGTTGCATTAGCCGCAACATCAATACAGGATTTTAATAGGTTAACAAAATTAAAATTGGTTCTTGCAACCAATTAAAAATTCTGTGCCATATTTAGCCAATCTTTTCTTTCAGTATATATATATAATATTTTATATTTCTATTTTACAGCTTAGAAGTAATTGTGATAAAAATATTTCTACTTTACAGTTTAGGAGTAATTGTGAATACATTTTGTGTAATACATTTTTTTAGACACTAATGTATTGTTTATTGGACTTTTTCTCAAAAATTTGATAAATCGCTACGAAGATTCGTTATACGTTGCATCGTTATTGTTTTGTCCAAATACTATAACGTCTAAATAAGTAGATGTTGAAACGACAGTCGAGTTTGATTAATGTTGAAAACAAATTTTTAATTCCAAAGTAAAATATAAGTAAAACGTTATCTACATTAAGTAAAATGTTACGTGCATTAAATTAAACATTAAGTAGTGTCACGTATATTTTTTTTCTGCTGTGCCTTATATATTGCAAGGTTACTTACAGCACGAAGTCGATAGGTGACAGAAGAAGTATCTGTCGACAGAAGAAGTTTAAAGTCGATTTTATGGCGAGTATAAGTAAACAATTGTGAAAAGCTTTCTTGATAAAAAATTTTTTATATATGTGCACAATGTTAAAATCTAAAATAAGTATCATTAATTATCATCATATTCCAATCCAGCAAACAGCAAATTACATGTATAACGTACATGTTGGTTATAATTTCCCACTCAACAATATACAACTATAATATAACACATGTGTTATATTTTAACTTGGTGTTTGCTGGAAGAATATATACGGCAAAAAAATTATGATAAAAAGAACGTTTCCTTGTGAATTCGGGAATTAATTTCATAGTACTTTGAAATGATCCTAAATTAAACTATATCACATCCACTTTTTGATTTCTGCACGCTTCTTGATCTCTGCAATCTCTGATCGTATAGAAATTACTTTTTCGATGATTGACGAACACTGATTATTAACGTATATTAGCTGCAACCAACTGTTATATAGCTTTGATACATATTTGATTAATAATTTGATTAATAATAGATAGATATATGTAATGATGCATTTTGATACGAGAATCTCTGAATGTCGTCTTAGAACTTCTTGTCTTATTTAAAATAATATTTCAGAGATTATCATATATCATTTATTTTTCTTATCTCGTTTTTGTCTCGTTTTCATCTCGTTACATCCATAAATAATTTTAGCTTAAATTAAGTCTTTTAATTAAAAAAAAAATTTGTTTTTTTATATAAATATTCATTTACACATGTTTAAAGTTTTTTCCAAGTGAATTTCTTATAACTATGATTAACTATCATTTTGATGTTCTATATGTTTGTCGAACTTCAAAAAATCGCATTTATGTGTAAATTCATTTTTAAAAAATACTGATTTTAACAAAATTACAAATATACAAAATTAACTAAATCGGGATTTGTATAAAATAGAAAAGCTGTTTTTAATTGGAAGATCAATTCAAGCTAAAATTAAACAAATTTCTTCATATTTAGTGACGGAATAAGCATTTTGCCATTTCGAAGCACCAACATTTAACCACCCCAGATGACTTTATTAATTTCTAAATTTGATAAAAGGGAAAATGGATTAAAAAATTGATTTATATCTGCATTAGTTACTAAAAAACATTCAATAATCCTTAATAAATAGTATAATATATAAATATAATACATTTTTAACTGTATATTTAAAATACCTTTCTGATAAAATATGTAGTGTAACTCGTACAAAAATGTTAAATTAACAAATTAAAAATTTATTTCAACTGTGTGAAAATTTTTTGTCTTGAAAAATTTGTCACCCTAGAATGCCTTGTTCGCTTATGCATTAATCTGTTACTGTTCATATTACGTAAGAAAGATAGTAAAAAATTTAAGAAAAATCGATTTCTAATGTTCTCTGAGGCTTACTTGTAAAAGCAGGATTGGTAGAAAATATGTTTTAAACATCTTCAAATTATTTAAAACATATGCTTAATTGAGGTTTTTGAAACAAATTTGATAATGATATCATGATTTTATAGAATAAAATTTCAATTTAAAAAAATTATTTTTTTTTTAAATTATAATACGATGATTTTTACGTAATTATGAATCAAAATAAAAATTCTTCTTTATTCAATCTGCAATAACTCGATAATAAAAAATCTTAGAAACATTTTTAAAAAACAATTTTGTAGGGAAAAACTAAGCTTTTTTTTAAAGTCAAAGATTTTCGTAAGTATTTTTTATAACGGTTTATAACGATATATTTTTGCAGCTTTCTCAATTTTAGAAATTTTTTTACACAGATTTTTTTACGTAAGATATAAAACTGTCATGAAAATTATTATATATTATAATTAATTTATTTGTAATTAATTTTGCTATTTTGCAGATATTTTCCGATATTAAAATTTATGTTCGCTTTCCTACTTCCGGTGATGTTGCCTGTATATGCATGGAAAGAGACTTGGTACAGAGCTTTTGTGTCCCAGAATATTATTCGTTATGTTTTTCTTTTAAATGCCATATGGAGTGTCAACAGTGCAGCTCATATTTGGGGCTCAAAGCCATATGATGCGTAAGCAGATAATTAGTATTAATATTATTCACATGTAATAAATTTGATCAAAAGACAAAGTTTTGCCACTTTGTATTGCTTAAGAATAATTTTATTTCGTTTATTTCAACGGCAGATATATAAATCCGACAGAGAACCGATGGGTTAACTTGTTTACGGGCGGTGAAGGACTGCATAATTATCATCATGTTTTTCCGTGGGACTATAAGGCTGCCGAGTTACACGGTTCCCTAACCACAGCTTTTATTAACTTCTTTGCGAAAATCGGGTGGGCATACGATCTCAAAGAACCGTCAAAGGAACTCGTAAAAACCGTCACGAGGAAAAGAGGTGATGGAAATCATCCTTTGTGGGAAGCTGTGCCATATCCAGTTATAAGTAAAATTGAATAATAAAAGTGACAGAGAATTATCTCATTTTTACAATAGAATTTTTTGAATCAGTTAACAAATGGACGCACAAAAAAAAACTAAATTTAAGTAAATATATTTATAAATTTACAAGTGGCTCATAAAATACAAATATAAAATACAGGATGGGCCATCTAGCGTTTGGAATTTCAACTACTATTTTGAGTTTGAAAGGCGTAATAACATTTATGACGCATCAGAAATTTAGTTTTTTGTTTGACATTTACATTAAATGGGTCGCTATAATAATGGTTCGCCCAATGGGCTGAACAACGCTTGGTTGAAGATGAGCACCGAAAAATCATCTTTTTTAACGAAGCTCATTTTCACCTCAGTGGCTATGTGAACAAGCAGAATTGTCATATTTGAGGGTCAGAGAATCCGCACGTCATTATGGAGAAGCCGATGCATCCACAACGAGTGACTGTTTGGTGTGGTTTTTGGTCCGGCGGCATCATTGGGTCATTTTTCTTCGAAAATGAGCAAGGAGCAGCCGTCACTGTCAATAGCGAGCGCTACCGCACCATGCTAAACGAATTCTTGCTTCTCAAAAATTTTGAAGAGGACACAGACGACATTTAGTTTCAACAGGACGGCGCACTGTCTTCGAAAATCGCATAATCAGCCGAAATGCTGATGTCAATTAGCCGCCTCGCAGCTGCAATTTGACTCCGCTGGACTATTTTTTATGGGGAATTTTTTATAGGGAACCATCAAGGATGAGTGTTACGCTAACCAGTCAGAAACGATTCAAGAATTAAAACATGAAAACATCAAAGTTGCCATCGATGAAATAGGCGCCCATATACTGAAAAATTGGGTTGATAGAATGGGGTATTGTGCAACCAACCGTGGAAGTCATTTAAATGAAAATTGTATTTCATGTTTAATGGCAAAATTACCTTTCCAATAAAGCTATAAACTTTGAAAAATATTCATGAGTTTTTTTTAAAGCCAAATTAAATTCCAAATTTTAAATGGCCCACCCTGTATAAGGAATGTGCACGCAAGATGTTTTTTGTATGTATTTTATATATTTAAAATTTTTATGTCAAAAAAAAAAAAAAATATATATATAT